TTGATTTGTGGCTGTGATTTTTTTAATCACAATTGGAGGTGCTCCAATAGTGATTTTTTCACGTAAAATCGTTTGTGTCTATTTATTGTTTCTGAAACAACAATCTAAATCACTTTTGTACGTGCTTGATGATTTAGATTGTGAGTTTTAATTGGTTGGGAATTAGCACAATTAAGTCTTGATCTAATCACGAATCACTTAAGTTTTTCAGGTAGATTGATGAAAACACCCTTCATTTATTAATTGTAGACGGAAATAAAAGTGGGGACCATTTAAGGATAAAATCAATAGATTAAAACTAAAGTGGCACATATGAAATACTAGGGATCAAAATGGCACATGATGTATATTTCAAGGATCATTTTGTATTTGACCTTTCTTTTTTGTTTTACCAATTACTTTTGGAGATGCCAATGAACAGTGAACAATGAAGTTAAAGATAAGAGGGTCTGAGTGCTATGAAAATGTGGATATTGAACTTGCTTTTCATCGTGGTTGGGGGTGATGGTATGGCCATGGTAGCTGAGGTGGGAAATGAGGTAACGAGGATGTAGAAGATGATGTTGAAGATATGGGGATTAGTGGGGGATTGGTGATGAATAATGGCCGAGAAAAATGAATGGTGACGAAGTGGTAGATAATAAATTTGTGAGCATAGTTCTAAATCGCGGTATCGAGTAACGTAATAGTATCGATCGCGGAGTATCGGTATCGGTAGTATCGACCGGTACGTATCGGGAATCGGGTGTCGTGGCCGTGAAATTTTAAAAATCATTAACAATCCCTCTAAAACTCAATTTTATGCATTTTTTTTACTCTTTTAGTCTTAATTTGTTACATTTTAATCAAAATTTTGATATGTAGGAACACTTTTAACTATTTTCAACTAAATGAAATGTATTTATTTTAGTATCATTTTCAACATAGTAAGCTTTTGACCGATGAATATTTTGATTTCAATATTTATTTTTCTTGTTTTTTTTCTCTTGCTCAACTGAGAAAATATATATATATATATATATATTAAAATATAAACAGTGGCATAGATGTATAAACAACAGAAAAACAGTGGCTTAAAAAGGTGCAGAAATAGTGGCTTAAAAGATGCAGAAGAACAGTGGCCTAAAAAAGAAATTACGAAATAGAAAAACATAAGGAAAATAATAATAATAATAATAATAATAATAATAATAATAATAATAATAATAATAATATTGATATGTGAAACAAAAATAGTAAAAGAGTATAGAAGCTTGCAAGTTCAGCCTTCTGATATGTTACTATAGTAACAGAGTATGAGGATGAACCTATAGTAACAGAGTATAAGGAAAACAAAGAAGCTTGCAAGTTGAATATTGGTGTGCTTGCCCAACAACAAAACAGAGCACAACGGCCCAAAGAATGAACTTACAAAACAGAGCATAAAACATCACAAATTTCAGGAGGTTTTTCTACTCTGCTCCAATTTCATATGTAATCGACGATTATTTTTATTTTTGCTGAAGGTTCTCTGCTCTAATTTCATCCGTATCGGCCATGGCAAAATCGTATCGAAACTGTATCGCCGCATGTATCGGATTTAGGCCGATACGTATCAGGAATCGGACATTACAATTGCGAATTTCAGTCTCACCGGTATACCGGTTCATATCCGTATCGACACTCCAATTTTCCAGTACGATTCGACCGGTACGTGCCGTATCGGCCGATATTTAGAACTATGTTTGTGAGGGAATGGAATGGGGTTCCCGCGGAAGGTTAAGGGGTGGTGGTCACTTGAGAGCCGCAATTCACCAATGTTATAAGAACTGTCAACAATGATAACAAGTTCATCGCCTTCATCTTTGCCAACAAAAGCCCTAAGCTTTTTTTCTCCGTTGATTTTATTTTTCATTTTTGGTTTTTTGATGGAATTATCCATGATGCTTGTGAGGAGGAGACTATGAAAAGGTCTATTGGTTGTAGGGGAGGTTAAAATAGGCCATGAGGAGTTAGAGAGTTTCCTATATTTGACGAAATGCTTCAAAGAGCCCATTGTCATTGTAAGTGTGGTAATTTCCAGGTTTGATAAAATGTCTTAGAAAGATGGAGGGGAAAGTAATTTCCATGTTTGATAAAATGCCTTAGAAAGATGGAGTGGAAAGGGGGATATATATACATATATATAAATTTTTTTTTTTTGGGGGGGAGGGGGGTAGTTTGGAGAGTTTACACATAGTGGTTTGGTAGGGATAATGGGTTAAGAGTGTGTGGTGAATATGGTCCGATTTAGATCACTTTGAGATGAAATTAAAATTAATTTATTGTCTAGGGTTTCATAAAAATTGAAACCAAATTAAACTATTAAAATTATGGAACCAATTGAACCAAACTATTTAAACATTGTTTGGTTTAATTTGAAATCACGGTTTCACATAATCTGTTTATAAGAAGAATCATATAATATTTATAAAAAAAAAATTCAACCTATCATAAATTTTAAAAATAATGATATGGTCATCAAACAAACTACTCTTATAATATTTACTTGTTAAGCAAAAACATAATATTAACCCACTGCAACATATATGAGTTTTGGAAACAAAGTTTTTTTTATTTATTTTTTAATCTCTAAAAGTATAATTTTTGTTGCAAAAAATAATTAGAAACCAATTTAAGTTGTTGTGAGGACAGTTACTAAAAGATTGTCATTTAAATTATAAAAATAAAAATAAAAATTTTTAGAAGCAAAATTTTGAAATGTCACTAACAAATGTACTTTTAGAAAAAAAATAACTTGGTCCCAAAAGATTTATTTTTTTAGACAAAACTTTTGATCTCAAAATGTTAGTTATTCATCACTAAATGTCTAATTTTGTCGCTAAAAATAAAATAATAACACTTTTGGCGACAAAAATATTTTGTCTCTAAATTTTTTTACTCTAAAATCTTAATTTCTTATAGTGGGCATATATTGTACAACATTAATCTATTATGATTTTTTGAAACATAAATTTTCAAAACATAAAAATGTACATTATCTCACCATTGACTTAAGCAAATATAATATTTAGTAAATAAACATATATGATTTAAGTTATACGATCCAGTTCGATTTAAATTCAAAATCATAGATCTAAATCTGAAATCAATCCACGGAGACTGATTCCTCAAGTTTCCAAAACAGGACCAAATTACAAATTTAAGAAACAAAATCAAACTTATCAAATTCACCTAGACCGGTTTAATTTGTGAAATTTTCAATTTTCTTACTCGGCCGTACAGAAGGGTGGGGAGGGGTGGCAGCCAAGGTTGTAAAGAGTGGTGAAGAGTGATTGCTGAAGTGGTAGTGGAACTGGTGGGAAAGGTAAAGAAAGCTAGAGTTTGAGTGATGGAGGAAGAAACGTGATAATACCTAACGTTATTGATTGTCTTTTCCAAAAAAAAAAAAAACAGTAGGCAATTATTATTATTATTGTTACTTTTGTGGTGAAGAATGATAGCTAAAGTGGTAGTGAAACTAGTGGGAGAGGAAAAGAAAGCTAGAGTTTGAGTAATGGAGGAAGAAACATGATCATGGTTAGAAAGGTAATTGTCTTTTTGAAAAAAATAAAAATAAAAATAAAAATAAAAGTAAAAAAAAAAGAGGTACGCAATTATTATTATTACTATTTGTCCATTGTTAAATAGACGAAATTGATAATTTAAAGATAAAATAAAAATAATAATAAAGGTTGAGACCCCATTTGGGGGTCACCCCCTTCACCCCTTTGCATTTGATTGGCTAACTTTTTTTTTTTTTTTTTTTTTTTTTTTTTTTCCCAACCCCCATGTGTGTGTGAGGGTGGTGGGGGTGGGGATAGAACTTTTAAGGGAGTATGAATCATTGCTCTAAAAAAAATATAAATTATTTAAAGGGTATAAGTGAAATTAATCTTTTTAGAAATTATAGATATCTTTTGTCACAATTTAAACTTTTCTTATGATTTTAAGCAAGTTACACTTCACAACTAATTTAATGAGTGTTTGTCATATGATTTAAATTGTTAAAATTCTATAAAAAGAAAATTTCATTAAATTAAATTTTGATAGTTATTGATTTGTAAAATCGTTTCTAATTAAACCACACGAACAAAAATCAAAAACTTTAAAAACTATGAAGATGAAACTAGTAGTTTAAAAATAAAGTAAAAAGAAAAAATTAATTTAAAAGATAAAATGAAATTAACCCCTTATTATAAAAGTAAAATTAACACACAAAAAATATGATAACTTATACATGTACTACAGAATGACCCCGTTGTGTTTCTCATTGAATTTGAAGATAGGTGGCATCGATAATTTGCCCATATGTTGGAGATTGCTCTAACACATGGTAAGTACAATTTTTTAGTCAAAGAAAAATTAAAAAAAAAAAAGAAAAAAAGAAAAGAAAAGTTCAAAGTCAAGGAACGTGAAAAATGAGAACGCGGTGAGACACAATTGATTTGTTGGGTTCCGGCCAAAACAGCGAAACACAATCCATACCATACTATATAGTAGCATTGAAAGCTCCTCATCTTATTATCCTCATCAATTGTATCTTCCCTCATCATTTAAGGATTGCATGCTCTGTCCAATCTAGCCCCTTCGAGACTCAATCTCATACATTCAATCAAACAAATTAAATTTTAATTCTTATTTAAGGAAGTGCTTTTATTTTGTTGTTGGTCTTTCTGTTTTTGTTTCCTCTAAATTATAGGAGCTGTATTTGGTCAGGAAGGCTTTGAAAAGCTGCCACATGTGAGAGAGACAGAGGAAGAGATCTCAAACATCTCTCTTCTACCGCTTATCTCTAATCTAATCTCAAACATCCTTATCCTCTTTTTTTAATTTTTTATTTATTTTTTCCTTTTTAAGAGAGGAAAAACCTCTTCCATTTAGCACACTTGTGTTGTGTCTTGTTATCCAAACCCAACTAATCTTTGTTAGATCATAGATTAATCTTTCCTGAGGGATTGGTGGGTGGGTGGGTAGGTGATATGGCTTTGGTTTCTGCTTTGTTTGAGATCTTACAACGACCCACAATTTGGGATGTGTTGATAGAACTCATGATTTTCATTGCCCCTCTCTGGATTGCTGTTTTTATTGGGGTTATGGTTGGCTGGGCATGGAAACCCAATTGGGCTAATCTTGCTCCTCATTTTTTGTCATCACCTTCCAAAGCTTCTGGATTGAAATTGAAATTGAAATTGCTATTGTCCAGCTTCATTTCTTGGATTTTCAATACTGGGTTTGAAAAGGGGATTTCATGTCCATCTTCAATCTCAATTTCTGACAGCAGGTTGGTTCAAAATTCTCAATTTATCCTTTTTTTTTTCTTTAACTGTTTTATGGGTCAAATGTTGAAAATACCCTTCTCCTTGTTGGAACTTATTACACTTGGAATCAAAAGTCAAAAGTGTTTGTTTACTTCAAATATAAATTGGAAGATGGATTTGCAAAGTAAAGTTGAAATTTCTAACAGTTGAATTGTTCTTCTTGTTGTTTCAGTTGTTCATCACATCTAGAAGAAGCAAAACCAGTTGTGGTTGGGGATAATGACTTAGACCATTTATGTAGACTTGTAGAGGAGAAAGATGATGGCCCTGCTTGGATTCACATGATGGATCGATCCACAACCACTATGAGCTATCAAGCTTGGCGCAGAGATCCTGAGGTATGTTTTTTTTTTTTTTTTTTTCCTTTTTCTCCTCTTTCAAGGTGTTTTACGTTGAATACTAGTAGTTAATTTGAAGAATAAAACTGGGTTTTGTAAATTGCACTTGTATAATTCTGTTCTTCTTGTACAAAACAACTTGTGATTGATTGCATTAGATTTTTCATGGCATTTTCCAGAATGGAGCCCCTCAATATCGTAGTAGTACAGTGTTTGAGGATGCCACACCTGAGATGGTGAGGGATTTCTTTTGGGACGACGATTTTCGATTGAAGTTGAAGTGGGATGACATGCTTGTACACGCTCAAACTTTGGAAGAGTGCCCCACCACTGGAACTATGATTGTGCAGTGGGAACGCAAGGTAGGGAGAGCATTCTTTCTGTTTGCATCTTATAACATTATGCTTTGTTCATCTTGGTTTTATGGCCTTGTGTCTTCTAACTATTTTATTTTTGGTCATGCAGTTTCCTTTCTTCTGTAGCAATAGGGAATACATTATAGGCCGTCGAATTTGGGAATCAAAACAATCATATTACTGTGTTACAAAGGTATATTTTTAGAACCAAAAACTATCTTTGTACATTGGGTAATATTCCACAGATGTTTTTTGTTCTGGTTTCTTTATCTTGTGCATGATTTTACTGCTGGTTGTTTCTTTGATCTATTTGAAGATAATTGGTATTTGATTCTTTTGTTTTTCCTGGTACACTCGAAAGCAAGTAGATAGAATCAAATAGTTTGGACGTGTGCTCGATAGGTGTTAGGAAGTGTCCAACAAATGTTGTGTCATCTTGATATCTGACACAACACGCCACCTTCTTAGAAGTGTCTGTACTTCTTAGTTGATACATACTGTGTATAAAATGTAGTATCACTGTTAAAGAAATTAATCCTGAATAATTCAATTGTGTCTCTAGTCTTGAAAAATATTGAAAATAACACAATTAGCAAAGAATCATGCACATTGAAGTTCAGTTTTGTGTTGGTATGACATACAAAGAACTTTCTAAACTGAACTTCAAATTATGCAACTCACGTGAAGATCAAGTTGAGCAGATTTATGTGTATAAAGATTTAAGTTTTAGGAGTTAAGATCCTATACTGTATACCCATTGCACCAAAAAAATTTATCTAAAACTTGAAGTTGTATGCACTGATGGACTGATTTTGATTTGTAATCAGTTGGTGTCTGTTTCACTTAGGAACATTAAATTCAGCCATTTTTCTAGCTTTCGATTATCTTGATCAGTTTTCTTCCTTATAGTATATAGTCCCAGGAATTAACTATTTGACTTCATTTTTTTTTTTTGTATATTTTTGTAGGGAGTACCCTGCTCCTCTGTACCTCAGCGCAACAAACCAAGGCGTGTTGATTCGTATTATTCAAGTTGGTGCATACGTGCAGGTAATTACAGGCTATTTATTTTTACTACCAATATTGTTATGGTGATTAAGGCTTGTTGAGTTGTGTTGAGTTGAAGTTCACTGCAAAAATTATTTTCTTACTTCCATAGCAATCTGAGTGAGCTAATTGAATACTTGTGAAGGCAACTGCAATGGCTTTTCATCTAATTCTTCGAACTTTTTTAGTATTGCACTACTAATATAAAGTATAACACCTTCTTCCTTAGTAATTTAGATTATCTGAAAATGAGAAATTAAACATTTACTGCCTGAAAAGCAAACACTCAATACCCCCTAGTAGTTCAATTTTCCTGATCTCTGAACCTTCAGAAACTAATATTATGTATTTTTGGAATTTACCCAGTTGAATCAAAGAGAGGGGATGGGAAGCATACTGCATGTGAGGTGTTACTGTTCCATCATGAAGAGATGGGTATACCTTGGGAGATTGCAAAGCTTGGAGTCCGGCAGGGTATGTGGGGAGCTGTCAAGAAGATAGACCCTGGCTTGCGTGCATATCAGAGAGATAGAGAATCTGGTGCCCCACTTTCACGTTGTGCTTTCATGGCTCAGATCAACACTAAAGTTAATGAAGACTACCTGAGATCCTTGGAAAGTACAAGCAGCAGTTCATCAGAGATTGAAACCCTGGATTCATCTGATGAGAAGCCATCGGGAATGAACATACCTAGGATTCTTGTTGTTGGTGGGGCTGTAGTGCTTGCCTGTAGTCTTGACCGAGGACTTCTGACGAAGGCAGTTATATTTGGAGTGGCTAGAAGGTTTGCAAACATTGGAAAGAAGTTGTGATTGGGATGCTTTGGCATCTCTACCAGGATGTCTTTGCTAGAAATTTAGAAAAAGGTAGAAAGGTTGAATTATTTTTTTTCATCGGGGGGTGAAGCAGCTATGAGTCAGGAAAAGAGAGGAAAAAAAAATTGTATAGTTATATTCAATGGAAAATGGAAATCTCATTGAAGGATTTTGTGCTGCAGAAATAACAAGAAAATTTAGTTCTTTTCTTTGCTTTTCTTTTTCTTCCATACCTAATTCTCATTGGAAGAATTTTTTTGGATTCTTTCATTCAGGCAAAAGACTCCTAAAAAGAAAAAAAAAAAAACAAAAACAAACAAAAACATGCTTAGATCGCAATTGAATGATTTCATTGGTTATATATTCCTTTACAAACAATTTCATCAGTATCCTATTCAACTGCCAACCCTGTTCCAAAAACCTAACTCTTTAGCACAAAAATGGAAAAAAGTGGTAAAAATAATCAATAGAAAGAAATGCCCAATCCGAATTCATTCCAGTACAAATATGGTTGCTGCAGGAAAGCTGGCTTCAAATTACAGTCTGACCTGAGCAGCAGCCTTGATATATTACATAGGTTGTTGTATGGATAATGATTTCTCAGCTTCCCCAACCCCAGCCAAGCTCAAAACCACTCTTTGGACCTTCAAACCGTGGAATGGCCCTGGCCCAAATGGTCTTAACCCAGGCTTCTTCCAACGCTACTGGGACATTGTAGCCAACTCGCTTTTGCAGTGCACCACTCAAGCCTTCGAATCTGGCTCAATCCCCCCAGCCCTTAACCAAACCCTCCTATGCCTCATAACTAAGCACACCAAACCAGAACTTGTCACTCAGTTCCCTCCAATACGCCTGTGCAACACGATCTACAAGCTCATCACCAAAACTATTGTTGCTCACCTTAGGCCTCTCCTTGATGATCTCATCGGCCCTTTGCAATCCAACTTCATCCCTAGTAGAAGAGGCACTGACAATGTCATTATTGTCCAAGAAGTTGTACACCATTTCAGAACCAAAAAATGCAAATCAGCAAACATGCTCATCAAGCTCGATCTAGAGAAAGCATTTGACAGACTTGAATGGGGTTTCATTGAAAAAATCTGAAAAATCTAAAAATCCCCTAGATATTGATTTGTGATTATATATCAATTTTAACCAGTAAATAACAATCTCAATCAAACAATTAAAGACAAACCGACATAACGATTTTACATGGAAAAACCACAATTGGAGCACCTCCATTTGTGATAAAAAAAAAAACTACAAGCAAAAGCCACAAAATCATATACTAAAAAAAATAAATGAATTACACAAGTGTACTCTCAATTACCTAACGAATCTACGCCCGAATCGAACCGACCCCTATGTGCCCCTTCCAGCCCCGTCTTCACCTCGAAATTGTCTTGTACAACATTGAATCCACAATGCCGATGTTGAATACATGACGATGAGCCACTCCAGAATCCACCAAAAAACAACTCTCTCCTTTATATTGAATAAATAAAACAAACAAACCTTTTGATATAATCCACTCAATTCATGATTGTAACACTCACAAATATCAAAGGAAACAAGCAAAGAAGCTCCAGAAGAAAACCCTAATATCCAAGAAGAAGATTTGGAAGCCGTAAACCTAAAATCAGACTGAAACAAATATTTATAGAAAACCGATCCGCAATCTCCGCTCGAACGCAAGAATAGACACTCGAGTGGATCTACGCTCGAGCGCAGGAATGGCCGCTCAAGCCGAAAAAAACAACTCCCAGTACTTTTGCAAGCGAGTGAAACTTCTGAATGGTCGCGATTTCTGCTCGAGCACAGGAATGGCCGCTCGAGCGAAAAAACAACTTCGAATGCAATTTAGCCTTTTGTTTCTGGGGTGCTACCCCTCGACCCCGCTTGGGCGCTGCCCTGAACCCGACATAGTCAGCGAAATGGCAAACAAGAAAGAATTAACTTCTGAAACATCTCTGCAAGGCCCAATTCGGGTTGGATTCGCATCTAAAACTCATAGCCTCACTGAAATAAATAAATCGAATACAATTACAACTGGAAGGAGTTTTGTCGAATGGGATTGCCAAGAATAAAAACCTAACAATCTCTCCCTTTGGCAATATCGTGACAAAACACACCTAACAAATAAAATCTTAATCACCCCAACCCATTACAGCTAACAAAAACAAACTTCTTTCTCAAGGTCATGATCTACAAAACAACTATTAGTGCCACAATCTCCAAAACAACTATTAGTACCACAAGAATATATGAAAAAGCAATAGACATATGACAAGATTATATTGAAGCATGAGATGGAAATATGAATAGATATAAATTAGAGATTTTAAGAACATGTAGCATGAATAGATGACAATCCTAAGAAACACGCAAACACACTCAAAAACCATTTTGATTATGACTCAAACTTCTCCCCCTTTTTGTCATGAATTGTCAAAGGAAGCTCAAACAACGAAAGTAAGAGCATAAACCACATAAGCAAGAACAAGATGATGTTGATGATGTAAAAATTAAAAACCTCCGAGAAGTAAGCAATAAACAAGCAGTGGATAGTAACATACAAACCAACTAATGCCAATCTCCCTTACCCTCCCTTACCAAACCAATCAATTTAAGTTCATGCAAAAAAAAAAAAAAAAAAACCCTTGCAATGATAAACTAAACTCCCCCCTTCCTAAAAGCAACTACAAACACTATACAGAAAACAATGAACAAGAAAAAGAAAAAAAATATGGTGCAACAAGTAAGGAATTTCAGATTTGTACCTTAAAACACACAAGATTATCCAAGAAACATAATTACTTGAAAACACAATGTGCATAGCCTCTAGAAGATTCCTCATAAAAGAAAGTGATGCATTATGTGAAAAGTACAGATCCCATGATAAAAGTGTGTGTGTGTGACTCTTGGAGTTCGACAAACACTAGATTCAAATCCTAGTAGTGATCTAATAGCTGGACCTCTGGCAAGAGAATCTAAACACAACTAAAGAAAGTCAAACCACTAGGAAACAAGGAGTATTTGTTAAGTAAAAGCGGAGGCTCCCCCTCAATCAATGAATCTTTTTTTTTCTTTCTTTCTTTTACATATTTTTTCTTTTCTTTCTTTTGAGCATTTTTTTCTTTCTTTTGCACACTCATTGGCGGCTGACATGCTCGAGAGTATAGAAATTGAACCAGAGAAGCATGGAGACAATAAGGATAGCCTGGTTGGTGACTCTAAGGTAGCCTTTTCCTCATGCCTTAACTGCAAAGAACTGAGGGAAAAGCCGTGGAGATGCAAAAAGATAGAAGGTGGTTAAGAGACTCAACATCACCCATGATATGCTAGTATAGGTCAATTCCTCTAGAAAAGCAAAAGATACAATGCCAGAAGTCCATAGAGAAAAATGATCACTAAGGCGGAAGACTCCGACATTTGCTAATCCAAGAGTGTGTACAGAATAAGACATACTAATCAAAGAACACACACTCCGAGATGAGTAATGACCAGAGAAAGCACACACATATTAACATGCAATGGATATTCTCATCAATTCCAATATGCAACAAGAACTTCTCAAAAATTTCTAGTAAAATCTTTTTGGATTTCTTTTCTTTTTAAAAAAAAACAAAGCAAGATAGAAACGAACAGGTACACAATTTTTTTTTTTTTTTTAAACAAAGCAAGATAGAAAAACAAACAAGCATATATGAAATGACTCAAAAAAAAAAAAAAACACATAGAAATCCAAAAACTAAAAAAACAAATAATTAAATTAGCACAAGTCAAGTTTTCTCACCTAAACCGCTTTTGTATGAACACAGTTGTGAGAATTGCAGTTCTTCGGTGGTGTCTTGACATTGTGGTTCCCTTCTCCTTCAATGGGAACCCGTCTCGACTTGGTTTCCAACTTCTTATACCTAGGTCTAGGAAAATGCAAACTCGCTCCATGTTTGGTCTCAAGCAAATCAAAATAGCAAGGTCTATTATGACTCATAACCTCATTACAACCAAAGAAGTGTCTCTTATCCCACGAGACGTTGGAATTTCTTTCATCTCTATGAGACACTCTCTCATGCAACTCATAACAATAAGGGCATATATGACCATACATACCACAATAATGACAAACAAAAACAGGGTGTACCTTCTTTTCTTTGACCTTACCAACTTTAAAAAGATTGAGAAGTCTTTCCTCTCATTGAATCTTGCGCTCCCTCTGCCCTTGAGTTCTTGTATCATGACATGCAGATGCACTCGATTTTTGCTCTTTGTTATCACCAAAGCCAATGCCACTCTTGTCATAACACATTTTTTGAGACCCAATGATATTGTCCAATGTCTTTGATCCTTTGTTCCAAAGACCAATGGTAGCCATAGCACACTTGAGCTCTTCCTCTTTCTTGATCATTAGTTCATCCAAGGCAACTTGATACATCTTGAGAGTTTTAATCTTTTCTTCATACTTTGCATAGATTTGCTGTAGCTCATTCCTCTCTGTCTGACAAGTCAAGAGTTTCGCACAAAGAGCTTGTCGATCACTAGAAATCTTAATAGCATCATTCATAATCTCGGAAATCTCCTTATTTAATTTGACATTCTCACTTTCATATGCTTCGAGTTTCATAGTGAGTTTGTCATTCAATTTGGATAAGTTAAGAGATTCCTTATACAACTTTTTATAAGCTTGCTGAAGCTCTTCATCTTCATGCCCCAAGGATTCATCATCAGTGGCATTCTCAACCAGCCTCTTCGGATACTCTATTTGTCCTTCAGTTTCAGAAGCCGCCATGAAAGTAAGGAATTGTTCATGCCCCTCTTCACCTTGTGCTTCATTGTCACTTTCATCTTTATCAGACTCGGATTCATCATCCCAAGTGATAGCGAAGGCTTTATTCTTCCTCAACCGATTAGGGCATTTTTAAGCAAAGTGGCCAAATCCTTGGCATTCATAGCATTGGACTCTTTCAGAGTTCCCTTGTATCTTTCCTTTCTCCTTCTCCTTCTTGGTTATAAAATTAATTTTGAGTTTATCTTTGCCTTTGGATTTATGAGGTGATTCTGAAAGATTAGGATTCTTTTTCAGAAAAGACTTTTTAAATTGTTTCACGAAAGCATCCGTAATCTTAGAATCAATCTCACAATCCTCATCAGAATCTTTTCCAACTCTATGAGCACTACTAAAAGAAATATCATCTTTTTGTCTC